CCCCCCCCCCCCCCATTCATCAAGTACATAATACTCGGCACACACTTGTCCTGGGGCTCCTCACGTTACCCACACTGCATTTCCACATGCGCTCATTTTCCTGTTCTCAAGATTATGTTTCCACCTCCTTTTCTCCTTCCTGGGCACCTCTATCCTCTCGTCTTCTCTTTCTTCATACTTCGCGGTGGAGGGGGGTTGTTCTAGAAACTGTCCAATGGGAACGTCTTTATTTCACAACCTCCAACAGCGCCAGCCACTCACACTTCTGCTTTTCGTGCTCTGATCCCCAGGAGTGCTGTATTTGAAACATTATCTTGTTAAAGACCATCACCTGTTTATAAACTATTGCCAATGTGGCATCTTCATTCAGTGGAATGATTCATACGCACCTAAGGTAACAAGACTTGGTGATCCCCAGACTGAGTGAGATCTCAGTCCTCTACTTCTCACAAGGTTCACGTCCATCCTCCCAGTTGCTCAAGCCCTGTGCCAGTCCCGGTAGACCAGAGAAACAAATTCATAGACACTCATGTGTTATGAGAGAGCTTTATAGACAAGAGCAATTGAATATTGAGAAAACATCTCAACCCAGTCCAGATCAAGTCCATAAGTCTGATATTAGCCCATATGCCACATACCAATCTATAAAGTCCTCTTCTGACTCATGAAGCACGTGCAATGATGCCGAATACTGGAAGATCACAGGCCAGTGATGGAAGGTCTAGTGGATGCAGTGGCAGTAGAGGCATCTCAGCGCTGGCGTCAGTCACCATGTGGCTCCTCCAGCTCCTGGGCTCTAGCATAACTCCATGCGTCTTCTCCACAGCAATGTCTCCAAAGCAGTGAGCATGTGTCCAGCCTCCAGCAAGCAGTTTTTCTCCTTAGGGCCTCCAAATGAGGTCATCAAGCTATGACCTGATGATTGACAGGCTGTAGACTCCACCCCTCCACTCTTAGATTTCAAATTGACAACAGATTTTGTAACTACCACAAGCCCCAAATCGAGGAATGTGGCTGTTTCCACCTCCCAAACCCTTGCAGCTCTCTGTATATTCATTCACGCTGGTGGTCCAAGCCCCCATGCTCCCTCGCTGGATTCCCGCTTGCAAGCCGTTCACCACAGATGATCTTAGAGCGGTCTAATCAGAATGTCGTTATGTCCCTGATTAAATGCTTAATAGCTGCTCTGCATGCTTCCGACCATAATGTAAAAGGCCTGTGTGACTTTCAGTTAGCAGTTTTCCGGCACTTAGACTGAACGGGGAGCATTTAATGGGGCGATTATGGATATACGAGGGGCTTTGAAATTTTTGTGGAAAAACGGAACTAAAAAAACCTTCCTTCCTGAGCTATACATTCTCCTCAAACTTCTCAACCCTCGGGCCGTTTTCGATCCATGTTTTCAAATTCCAGAATTCCACTGAGCTGTGATTCAAGGGAGATCTCCATTCTCCGTTGGCTTGGCCGAGTCATTGCTTTGTATTTCATATTTTTACTCACTCCTCAGTTCGTGTGGCCACTTCCGTTCCCGAACTGGCACTGATCACAAGCCTGGCTGTAGTATTAAATTAAAAAATTGGCTCTGGGGGGTGAAGGGCCAGCCCCCACCTGCTGATACTACTTATAGTACTACTCGGATTCAGTAATACTACTTCTGGGTTCAATAATGCACAATTGTACGGTTGAGATATATAAGTATTATATTAAAGTCATTGAGAGCATGAGAGATAATACAATAATGCAGTTAGACACATTACATGGTAGCATTGCTCACCTCAGCCCAGCTTGGTGGTCCACGTGGAGAGAGGGGGAAGGGAAGGAGGGGAAGGGAACAAGGGAGAGGGGAGTGACCAGGGAGTGAGCAGCAAGGAGCTCAGAGTCAGAGAGAGCTCTATATTGCTGACTCACACCTATATACCTTTTGGGGGCATGCCAGCCCACTAATTATAGGTAGAGACACATGTCACAGGAAGGGGCTGCACTATAGGTTGCACAGTAATGAGGGGTTGGTCTAGGGGGTGGTCTCTGGGTCTCCATAGGAACCATTATCAGTAGGATGCGAACTCCTCCTACAGGAGCCTGTCCATTGTCCCCAGAGGCAGGGAGCAGACCCACCCTGTGAAGGGATGAGAGCAGTCTGGCAACTGATTGCCCTCAGTGGGGGAATGCCTGCGCATCTGACCTCCCCCCACACCATGACCCTGGGTAAACCCCTGAAACGTCCTGGGATTATCTTGAAACCTTAAACTAAAAATTATCCCACAAAGTCTTTAATCCAAGCTGTTGTTTAGCTTAACTAGTAATGCATATTAGCCTTGAGTGTTGTGCTTTTTAAAAAGACTTATCAAGATCAGATGAAGTTGACAATAGCAATTCAAAAACTTAGAGAGGACACGGGTGGGGTGGGGTGGGGGCAGTGAATTCATGAGAGTGTGGGTGGTTGCCTAAGTTAAAGATGGTCATTGTCACATGTAGAAGTTTTTGAGTGGGTGTTTGTTCTACTGTATGTGCTCAATAGCCACAGCTCAACAATACACTCAACAGCAATTAATAACAAATAAAATTAATGTTGAAAACATCAGACTAGCTAAAAATCCATAATCAATCTGGCTTCAGCATAGTCTTTTGGAGGGCTTAACCTCGTAAGGAAACCTTCTTCAGCTCACCCTAGGCTTTTCTGATAACTCTAACTGGGCTTCTTGGAGCGAGAAACGGTCCAGCAGGCTCAGCGAATCCTGTCCACACCATGCTCTGTGCTGTGCTGTGGGAAATGAGGAAGTATGACATGAGACTAGAACACAGGAAATGATGAAAGGCTATATTAAAATCCGTTAAAACATGCAGGGAGTGCTCTGAGACAGATTCATAGAAGAGATAGAAGTGAAATTCAAATTAGTATGGTTTGAATAGCCCCTCCATGTGTAAAAACCAGAGGCAAGCGCAGACAGGGAAAATTCTGCTACACTGTATGCCATCTGAGTCATTCTGATTCTGCCAGGGTTTTGACCAATGTCTGAACTCAAAAATAGCCCACAAAGTCTTTAAATCACACACTAGTTTAGCCTAAGTCACCAAGAACATTAGCCTTGAGTGTTGTGCTCCAAGTGCAGCCGTCACCTGTCTGTGATGGCATATGTAGTGCTCTGATGCAGAACAGAGGTCAATGGCTCCCAAAGTAAGGTAGGTCAGGAAGAAAAACCCAATGATTGACTTCTGACAATTAGCCGATGTACACCCGATGGATCACATTAAAACTGGTCTGCTACTGATCCTAGATATGACACAGGCCTGGACAGCACTTTGACCCATTTCGCGGGGGTCATATGAGTCAGGGCTGACACAAGGGCAGCTCACAACAGCAGCAACAGATGAAAGCTTCCAGTGAAAAGCAGGCTGCAATTACAGTACTTCAGTTTGTGGAAGTACTGCCATTATCCTGCTGAGAGAAAAAGCCATATTGGCCGGCTCTGGTTAAAAAAAAAAAGAAAGAAAGCTTCCAGTGAATCTCAGGTAAACTCAGCTCTAGCCAAGGAAGGACCAGGAGGTGAAGTGTCCGCTCATCCAACCAGGCAGCAGAACCACAGAACACACAGTCTCTTGTTACAAAAAACCTACAGTTACAGACCACTTCCCATAACGCCTAGCATACGAGAAGTCTGAGGTAGTCCTCCCTCAACACAAGACCACTTTGTTCCTATAGCCCGGCATTCTGTGATGCTCACCTTCCCAACACTATTGCTGAAGAAAAAATGGATACATAAACAAAGGTGGCGAAGAAAGATGCTGCTGCCTGGCTATCGAAAAATATAGCATCTGGGGCAGGGGTCCTCAAACTTTTTAAACAGGGGCCAATTCACTGTCCCTCAGACCCGCTGGAGGGCAGGACTATAGTTTTAAAAAAAACTATGAACAAATTCCTATGCACACTGCACATAGCTTATTTTGAAGTAAAAAAACAAATGGGACAAAAACATCCGGCGGGCTGGATAAATGTCCTCCGCGGGCCATAGTTTGAGGATGCCTGATCTGGGGTCTTCAAGCCTTCTAGATAAATAAGGCGCCATCTAGCTGAGAAGCAACAAAGCCCACATGGAAGAAGCACACCAGCCTGTGTGTCGACGGCATCAGTATCAGGCGTCAAAATCCAGAACAAACAATCATGTCAATGTGAATGAGAGGGAGTGCAGAGTGGAGACCCAAAGCCCACCTGTAGACAATTGGACATCCCTTACAGAAAGGTCACAGGAAAGAGAAGAGCCAGTCAGGATGTGTTATAGCACCGATGAAATATACAGCTTTCTTCTGGTTCTTTAATGCTTCCATTTCCCCAGTTCTACCTTACAAATCCTGCTAGATAAACCCCTCAGGATGAATAATAAGAATAGTCATACCAGAAGGGGAAAGGGAAGGTGTGAGTAGAAAAGGGGAACTGAACACAATGATCTACATATAACCCACTCCCGGGGGACAGACAACAGAAAAGTGGGTGAAGGGTGATATCGGTCAGTATAAGACATGAAAAAATAATAATAATTTATAAATTAGCAAGGGTTCATGAGGGAAGGTGAGGGAGGGAGAAATACTAAGGGCTCAAGATTTGAAAATGATGATGGCAACATATGTACAAATGTGCTTGACACGATGGATGGATGGATTCATTGTGATAAGAGCTGTAAGAGCCCCCAATAAAATGATTTTTTTTTAAAGAAATAAAAGTTTGAGGCATATAATAACAATAGGATACTACTTTGCCAAACACATCAAAACACTTTTATTATTACTGTTACCATCTTAAAGCTATTTTAGTGTATCTGGAAGTGTTTCATGTTTTCATGCTGAGATAGTTAGTTTATTGTGCCAGCCTGGTCGATAAACATAAGTGGGATTAATTGAAGGGCGGAGAGATAAATGGCTCAGTGAACCTCACCTTTCTTGTCTCTCACTCTTTGATCATCGGACCAGTGTGCAGCTGCCTTGCTTGTTCTGTGCCTCAATTTACAGGCT